TTGATCCTCATTGGTCCTTATTGATCCTCATTGATTCTCATTGATCCTCATTGAACCTCATTGATCCTTATTGATTCTCATTGATCTTCATTGATCCTTATTAATCCTCATTGGTCCTTATTGATCCTCACTGATCCTTATTGATCCTCACTGATCCTCATTGTTCCTCATTGATCCTCATTGATCCTCATTGTTCCTCACTGATCCTCATTGATCCTTATTGATCCTCATTGATCCTTATTGATTCTCATTGATCCTTATTGATCCTTACTGATTGTGAATATTAGACATGGTGTCAGTCTTATTCCACAGTATGGACAGGTGAGTTACTGTGCAGCTTACCTGTCCACTTCCCTTCATAAAAAATAATCATCTAATGACCTCTGTGTGGTCTCATGACATCACTCATATATATATCCACTGTGTGTGTGTGTGTGTGTGTGTGTAGGACCGGTTGGAGCACCTCAGACAGCAGTGTGGTCCTCATGTCACCGCCGTCGCCAAAGACTCTGTGGAAGGAATCTGCTCCAAAATCTACCAGCTGTCTGCAGAGTACAGCCGCCGCCTGAGACACACACACCTGAGCCTGATGCAGGACCCCCCCACAGGTGCGTGCGCGTGCACACACACACACACACACACACACACACACACACACACCAACAGGGAGCATAGTGAACTGTGTGTGTGTTATTAATGTGTGTCCTTTTTGTGTTGTTGTGTGTGTGTTCAGAGGCGTGCGCGTCCCCCCAGCAGTCACGGCTGGTCTACTGTTACCCGGTGCGTCTGGCGCTCCCCTCGCCGCCGCTCCCTCGAGTGGAGCTGCACTTTGAGAACGACATGGCCTGTCTGCGCTTCAGAGGAGAGATGGTCAAGGTCAACAGAGGTCACTTCAGCAAACTGGTCAGTACTCACAACAGTACTACTAATGTTACCATGGCAACAGAAAGGTTGCACTCTGAACACTGAGTTAACTTTGTACGGGAAGTGTTGAGGTCACCTGACACAAGCTGTCAGTATGTTAATGAGAGTCAGACAGGAAAAAACGAGATGGTGATGAGGATGATGATGATGATAATGGTGGTGATGATGGTGGTGATAGTGATGATGATGATAGTGGTGGTGATGATGATGATGATGGTGATGATAACGATAATGGTGATGATGGTGATGATAACGATAATGGTGATGATGGTGGTGATGATGATGGTGATGATGACGGGGATGGTGATGATGGTGATGGTGGTGGTGATGGTGGTGGTGATGGTGACGGTGATGATGACTGATGGTGATGATGCTGATGGTGATGATGATGGTGGTGATGATGATGGCGGTGGTGATGGTGATGATGATGGTGGTGGTGATGGTGATGGTGGCGATGATGATGGTGGTGACGGTGATGATGACTGGTGGTGATGGTGATGATGATGGTGGTGGTGGTGGTGGTGGTGGTGATGGTGGTGATGATGATGATGATGATGGTGGTGTTGATGGTGGTGATGACGGTGATGGTGGTGGTGATGATGATGGCCATGATGGTGGTGGTGATGATGGTGATGGTGGTGATGGTTATTTCGATTATGGTGATTTTGATGATGGTGATTTTGATGAGGGTGATGATGATGACGGTGATTTTGATGGTGATGGTGATGATGGTGATTTTGATGATGATGGTGATGGTGATTTTGATGGTGATGGTGATTTTGATGGTGGTGATGATGGTGATTTTGATGGTGGTGATGATGGTGATATCGATTATGGTGATTTTGATGATGGTGATGGTGATTTTGATGGTGGTGGTGATGGTGATGATGGTCATGATGGTGGTGATGATGATAGTGGTGATGATGGTGATGATGGTGATGGTGGTGATGATGGTGATTTTGATGATGATGGTGGTGATGTGATGGTGGTGATGATAATGATGGTGATGATGATGGTGGTGGTGGTGGTGGTGATGATGATGGTGGTGGTGGTGATGATGATGGTGGTGGTGATGATGATGGTGGTGGTGGTGATGATGATGGTGATGACGATGATGATGATAGTGATAATGATGATGGTGGTGGTGATGGTAGTGATGGTGATTTTGATTATGGTGATTTTGATGAGGGTGGTGATGGTGATTGTGATGGTGATGGTGATTTTGATGAGGGTGATGATGTTGATGGTGATGATGGTGGTGATTTTGATGATGATGATGATTTTGATGGTGGTGATGATGGTGATGGTGATTTTGATGGTGGTGGTGATGATGATGATGGTGATTTTGATGATGATGGTGATTTTCATGGTGGTGATGATGGTGATTTTGATGGTGGTGGTGATGATGGTGATGGTGATTTTGATGGTGGTGATGATGATGATGGTGATTTTGATGGTGATGATGATGATGGTGATTTTGATGGTGGTGATGATGGTGATTTTGATGATGGTGATGATGGTAGTGATGATGATAGTGGTGATGGTGGTGGTGGTGGTGATGATGGTGGTGATAATGATGGTGATGATGATGGTGGTGATGGTAGTGATGGTGATGATGATGATGGTGATAATGATGGTGATGATGTTGTTGGTGTTGTTGGTGTTGATGATGTTGTTTATTATGATGTTGATGATGATGGTGGTGATGGTGGTGATGGTAGTGATGGTGATTTCGATTATGCTGATTTTGATGAGGGTGGTGATGGTGATTTTGATTGTGATGGTGATGGTGATTTTGATGAGGGTGATGATGTTGATGGTGATGATGGTGGTGATTTTGATGATGGTGATGGTGATTTTGATGGTGGTGATTTTGATGATGGTGATTTTGATGGTGATGATGATGATGGTGATGTTGATGGTGGTGATGATGGTGATTTTGATGGTGATGATGATGATGGTGATTTTGATGGTGGTGATGATGGTGATTTTGATGGTGGTGATGATGGTGATTTTGATGGTGATGATGGTGATATCGATTATGGTGATTTTGATGATGGTGATTTTGATGATGGTGATGGTGATTTTGATGGTGGTGATGATGATAACGATGATGGTGATGATGGTGATTTTGATGAGGGTGATGATGATGGTGATGATGGT